CCGGATTGGCGCCTTCTCCAGATTCATTTAATTCCTCTCCGCTGCTTGTCTTCTCTTTCGATGAACTCTGCATTGTTAGCATATCCTTCTCGACACAACTCACGTTGGTTCCCGTCAAAGAACTCAGGTCTACATGAGATTCGTCTTCCCCTTTTTCTCCCGGCACAACTTCTTTTTTCCCACCATTTCTTTGCAACTGTTGATCAGTTGTTTGGACAAGCTTTCCACCAGAAGCAATTGCACAGGAGAGGAATGGATTCATTTGGGAACAATCCTCACTTGTAGATGCTGCTTGATGGCCTGTCTTTTTGCCCTCCCTAGCTGTGCCTGGCTCGTTCGCGGCAGATGGTTTAGCTTCTGGTAAAGTAGAAAGACTCGTCTGTTGGAAGAGCTCAGATTTTCTTTCTTCCTTTTCTCTCGTTTTCTTGCGAAAGCCACATTCGCCGAACTCTAATAAAAGTTCTTCATGCTCAATTTTCAATGATCTTATTTTTTCTTTCAGAATATTATTTTCTTCCATCAACTCCTTTGTTGATATCGACGCCTTTTCTTTCAATGTTTCCTCACTTGAACACTCACTGTTCATTCCACTGTCGATTGCGTCTTCTTTGTGCTTTGCATCAGTGGTGAAATATAAAGCTTCACCATTCATACTAGAACCTGCATTGAGCTTGTGCTCGTGGCTCTTGTTGTATTTATCCTTCTTACTTATTTTTGAATTCTCCGCCAGGGTTGATATGATTTTTCGGGGTTGTTTTAATTCAGCAGAGCTGAACTTTAGTTCATCGTTTTCTTTATTATTTTGCATGCCAGTAATACTAACTTTTTCATTATTTCTCCCAATTTCATTCATATTTGTGTTCCTAAAATATTCTCGTCGTTGTCACGATTTAATGCATGATGAATTTTGTTTCCATCAGGTGAAATACTACGTGGTTGAGATTCAACTCTCAAATCATATTCCATATTTCCATTCGTCCAATTCGCAATTTTTTTCTCCGAATTACAACCTTTCTTGTCTTTATATTCCAAGCTATCAGAATGCTTTTTAATAAAAAAGGTACGAAAGATGTCTACGAACTCATGTATTTTATCTGACGAATGTTGTTCCGTTTCAAGACCTTCTTTTCGACGATCGAGTGAAAGTTTCAGGCGTTTAGCAGTTTTCTCACCAGGTCGTTGTATATAATTCCCAAACAAATCTAGTGATTTGACAGCTTCTGAGAACAACGCTTTCGTCTCGGAGATAGAATGAAGTAATTCAGTTTTTGACTCTCTAACGGTAACATTTTGTGGCTCCGCATCTTTCATGCCCTGCTTTTTGCTGCCAGCATTCAAGTCTGGAAAATCACTTTCAAAATCGATAAATTCACGCAATGTAAGTATAAAAACATCTCGAAGACAAACTACAAAACTCCAAGAAGACATTTTGTTTGGTGAAGCGATGAACGGTGCTGGCTTGTTATAACCGCTATCCAACGGCTTCCGATAAGGAATATCTGATGGAAATAAGTTGCAAGATTTTATGTCCAGGATAATTATATTATTTAAAAGGAATTTATTGATGAATTTTCCACTTTATTATATTCATTTTGATATCAATGGAGTTTCTTGCAATCTGATTGGTTAAAAATAGTGTGGTTAATTCCGAAATCGCACTTGACAAAAATAGATGAAAATTACTCACATTTTACAACCGTTTACGGTTCTTTCCGCCAATAAATCGTTTTGAATTTGTCTAATTTTTTGTATGATTTCAAAATGAATGTAAGAAAGTGGAAATTGCACTTCGTGTTGTGCAATTTTGGTGTGAAATCAAACTTGTGATTACAAATTTGTAATCACGCGTGAAAAACAAAACGAAGAAAAACTTTAGCTGTTCCGCGCACCTGACATAACTTTAGCTGTTCCGCGCACGTGACATAACTTTAGCTGTTCCGCGCACGTGACATAACTTTAGCTGTTCCGCGCACTTGACATAACTCTAGCTGTTCCGCGCACGTGACATAACTTCAGCTGTTCCGCGCACTGTTCCGAGCACGTGAGATAACTTTAGCTTTTCCGCGCACGTCACATAACTTTAGCTGTTCCGCGCACGTGACATAACTTTAGCTGTTCCGCGCACGTGACATAACTTTAGCTTTCCGCGCACGTGACATAACATTAGCTTTTCCGCACACGTGACATAACTTTAGCTTTCCGCGCACGTGACATAACTTTAGCTTCTCCGCGCACGTGACATAACTTTAGCTGTTCCGCGCAAGTGACATAACTTTAGCTGTTCCGCCCATGTGACATAACTTTGGCTGTTCCGCGCACGTGACATAAATTTAGCTGTTCCGCGCACGTGACATAACTTTAGCTGTTCCGCGCACGTGACATAACTTTAGCTGTTCCGCGCACGTGACATGCGGGAAAGGCTCAAAAGGTTAAAAATGGAAAGAATGAAAGCAAAACGAAAGATAACATTATAGTTGTGCGCGTCGTGTTCTGCGAGCGAAAAGTCAGCACTGTCTCGGGAAAATATTTCGGTGAATTTCCCGATCGAGGATCTATAAATAGCTACAGTGGGGCTCGGAAGATTGAGTTAGGTCGATATGATTTTTGTTGCATTGATATAACAATATTGATTAAGGACAGCCACTGGTTTTCCTTATACTTTCTTTTCATCTTCCTTTGAAGCGGTAGCTCTTGGATCTCCCAGATTTGATTTCGATTATCTGGCCTCTCTGATTATTATTATTAATTATTAAAAATTTTATTTACAGACACTAGCCCCGTCAGTTACCACTTATTTACACATGAGCGTCTACTTATTACATTATGAGCGTCTACTTAATTACACTATACAAATATAAACTATATATATAAATGCAGAATTAACTACTTGAATTTATGAGCCTCTTGAAACAATGAATCGATTGAGCAGACTTAGCTTCACGCGAAAGACTATTCCATAATACAGCTCCTCTATATTTAAAACTTCTTTTGAGAAACTCTTTCTTAGGTCTCGGGATTGATAGATCAGTATCGTAATGTCTCAGGTTATAACCATTTTCAATTACACTACGCTCAGAAAAGGATTTGCGAAGGCACGGAGCAGTACCGTTATTTAGGATATTATAAACGAGAACTGCTTTGTTAGTTTTATATTTAGTTTCGAGATTTTTCCATCTAAGCTGCTCCAGGAGTTCAGAGGAGCTTGTATTGTAGTCTGCCCCCGTTAACACCCGAGCAGCCCTATTTTGAAATTTTTGCAACTTTTCTTTCAATAATAGACCGCAATTGTCCCAAAGAGGGGAACAATAGTCAAAGTATGGTTGAATTAAAGCTTTGTAAATGGTGTGCATGGTTTCTTCAGGAACAAAGGGTTTAACTCGTCTCATTACACCTATTCCCGCGCCTACCTTTCTGCTTATTGCATTTATATGGGCTTCCCAATTAAGTTGTTCATCAATCTCGACGCCCAAACATTTAAAAGATCTATAACGGGTTACTGGTACATTTCCAAAGATCACTGACTTATTTCCTAGTTTATTTTGAATGTTATACGAAGAGCCTACAAACAAAAGTTTAGTTTTGGTAGTATGATTGCAATTTATTATCACTAAGCCATTTACTGATATTTTTTAAATCAGAATTCAACATATCTACTAATTTATCAAAGTTATCCGACGACGCAAAGATTTGAGTGTCGTCTGCATATATTCCAGGGGTAGTAGATTTTAGATTTTCCAGTTTGCTAACCTATTTTGCCAACTTTGGTCCACAAAACGAATCCTAGTACTTCGAGCTATTTTAGTATATCAATATTAAAATAAAGTTAATGAGGAAACGTTCATATAAAGGTGTGTCTTCGGCTTTGGCAAAAAACATATGTTTGCGGGCGGCATGTCAGACATGCGTCAAACCGGCGCTCCAATGCATTAGTAGATCCAATATTGCATCACACGCGAACATCATTTGACCTGCTCAATCCAACCAATTAAACTCCTTTTCCATTTGGCGCGTAAAAACAACCAATAACATTTCAGAGGGTCACGCATAAGCAGCATGCACAAGCTCAATCTTCTCACTTGGGAAATCGCTTTGCTCAAAGACACAGTTCGCAAAATTAAAAGGTATTATTTACGTCAAATCGAAAAAAAAATAAATAAAATTTTTATCAAGCCTCGAGCCGCACGTAGTTGAGCAACACAACGCCAACTACATCAGCCACCGAGCGAGATCAGTTTAACGGCTCTTCGAGAACTTTGCGCCGAACAAGGTTTACCTAATAACGGCTGATTCACCGACTACAGCGTCACACTTCCTCGAGCTCTCCTGAGTCAGAGTTGGTCCCTGCAACTTCCCCGGATAATTCTTGACAGACAGCGACAGCGAACGCTTTCAACGACGCTCAGTTAGCGCAAATTCAGGCCATCCTCGACAAATCGGCTGAACAGATCGCGACAACCGCTGCTAAAGCTGCTGTGGCATCCATGCAGAACTCTGGTCCCGTCACCCACAGCGTAGATGAGGCCATCGTTGATGACGCTCCTGCGCAATCCGTAGCCGCAAATTTTTGTAAACTCGGTTGTTCCTACCGCGACGTCACCTCAAGTGCCATACAGCCACGGATTCCACGATGTTCCCGCAGCATACGTGAGACAAATTTGTTATAATTTTCTGTTCTAAATGCCGACCACTGCTCCGAGCAGAGGTGAAGTCTATCTGTTTATTACTTTGAATGTGTCTAGGCTTATGTACAGTAATTTGCATACATTAAGATTCTAACTAATACAACCATTCATGCGTAATATCGCACAACATCTTTCTCCACCTTTTTTTAGTAATCACCAAACTTCTATTAGTTATATACGGTGGCAATGTTTCTTTGATCCTAATAAATGTTTTTTTGTTTGTTTTTTTCTCTTTTTTCAAAACAATTAATTACGTGAGTTAAATATTTGTACAGTTCTACCGATAGATATAATTATAAATAGTTCTCTAATACTCAGCTACACAGTCCACTCTCCAAATCGTTCTGGTTTCTTAATTTGTCGACCGGATCTCGTACTTAAGGTAATTTGTTCACGGTTTGTCTCTTCTACATCACTTTCATTGGAATCATATAACTCGTATCGTTTCGGTTGCTTAACACTGTCACTTTTCTTCGTGGGTGGAATTACAGCTTTGTTAACGACTTTAATATGTGATTTGTCTCTCTTATATATTCTTCCATTTCCAAACAACACGGTAGCAGAATATTCAGTTAATTCAATCACAACCCCTACTTCGGGTCTTAATCGATCAGTTCTTTTGTCTTTCATCAATACTCGATCACCCACTCTAATGTGTGATTTCTTGACGTTCTTTTTTCTGTCATAATATATCTTCGCTTTCTCTTTGTGTCGTTTATCACGATTTCTTATAACTTCATCTTTCACTCTTCTCTTCATCGTCGGGAAAATGTTCAAGTTCATCTTTCTTCCAAACATCAGCTCATACGGGCTTTTTGACGTGGAAAGATGAGGTGTGGCTCTATAGGCTTCCAACATTCCGTTTATCTTCCCTTTGTAGTCAGTGTTCTCTTTCTTAGCAATACGAATGGCTTTGTTGAGATTTTGCATGAATCGTTCACATTCACCGTTCGCTTGTGGATGTCTCGGTGTGATTCTTCGATGATAAAAACCTTTCTTCTCTGCATATTCGTAAAATTGGTGACCCTGAAATGGTGGCCGTTGTCTGTCTTTACTGTGTGCACTTTTCCGAAGGTGGCAAAGATCGAATCCAAAACTGGCTTAACGTTCACAAACGATGTTGAGTTGCAGTATCCAACGATCGGATATCGGCTGTAAAGATCGTATGCCACTAGAATGTATTTTCTATCTTTCAACGGACCCTTAAAATCAATGGATATCGTATGCCAAACATGAGGTGGTAGTGGTGTTGGTCGTAGAAGTTCATCATGCGTTCGGTCAAAGGTTATTTGGCAACTTAAGCAGCTTTTGATGGCATCTTTCGCAAGCTTCGTCATCCCGGGAAACCAGATTCTTTCCCGCAAAAGGTCTACTGTACGCTTCTCACCCGAATGCCCAATCTTGTGTGCTTCATCTATAAAAGCACTGTGCATAACGAATGGTGGGACCAGAAGATCTTTGTAGATACAAGTCCTTTCACAACGATAGCTCTGGTGCGACTCCGTAAAACTTCGATATTTTCGGGTTGCTCTTTTGTGATTTCCACAAACCATTCTCCACTTTTCTCCTAAGTGTCTGGTAGTCCTTATCTCCATACGCTCTTTCCATTATAACACGATCACTCTCCGAGTTTGGTTCAAATAACAGCGCAGTTATTCCTTCCTCAAACGATTCATTCGGTGTTTGCTCAATCAGTTCGTCCTTTGTGATATGACGAGAACCGTAATCTGCGATGTTGTTTTTTCCTTTATTGTAGACCACAGTGTATTCCAATCCCTGGATTGCCAAAATCTGCCTTTCGATTCTTATCGGTGCTCTTGATTTAGGATTGTTAAATAGATGTTCTAATGGTTTGCAGTCTGTGAGTATCTCAAATCTTGGAGCTCCCACAAGATATTGATAGAATGCATAGCTACAAGCCCACTTAATAGCAAGAGCTTCTAACTCCGTCTGGCCATATCGCGTTTCGATATCGGTCAGAGTTCTGTTCGCAACGTGGCACATTCTCCACACTCCCATGTCATCTTGTTGTGTCAATATTGCACACAGCCCGCCTGGAACATTACTGGTCGCTTCAATCTTCTTTCCGGCATCGACATGTACTCGAATAGGTTGATTGGGTACGAAATATGCGAGTGTTGTTTCTTCCTCTAAACTTTCCTTCAGGTGATGAAAAGCGTCTTTCTCTTCCTGTCCCCATCGGAATTGGGCTTTGTCTTTGGTTAGAGCCCTCAACGGTGCCGCAATCTGGGAAAAACTCGGTATAAACCTCGACATATACCCGACCATTTGAAGGAAACTTCTGATTCCCTCCTTCGAAGTAGGCTCACCACATTCTTTTAGAGCTTTCACTTTCTCTCGAGACGGTTTCAGGCCATTCTCTGTGAATCTATGGCCATAAAACTCAATTTCGTGTTTACCAAATTCGCACTTCTTTCTATTAATGGTAAGACCATGCGACTGCAGTGTTGATAGGACTTTGTTCAAATTGCTGTTGTGATCTTTCCAATCTCGACTGCCTATAAGACAGTCATCTCGATTGTTCTTCGTTCGAGGTATACCAGCTAGGATTTCACACATCCGCCGATCAAATTCGTCCTGACTCGTGACCCAACCTTGCGCAAGGGTATTATGTTTAAGGTTTCCCATGGTGTTGTGACAACCAGATACTTCTTGCTCTCTTTGTCTATGGCGAACTGATGATAACCGTTGTTCATATCGATCTTCGAAAATACTTTACACCCCGCGAAAGTCATGGCAAGATCTTCCGTCCTTATGCCAGGGACTGTTCTTTATTAGCCAACCTGAAATCGGCCGTAATTCTGACATCAGCGTCAGGTCCACTTGATTTAGGAGTTATCACTAAGGGACTTGCATAGAAAATTGGTTCGCCAGGTTCTGTCCAGCTCATAATGCCCTCTTTCACAAAATACTCCAGCTTATTCTTCATTTTCTCTCTCAGGTGGTGTGGTATCACTCTTGGTGATTGAAGAACTGGCTCTGCTTCGGGTTTCATGTATATATGTGTCAAGATCGGTTCACCGTTGTGAGGGTCTTTAATTAAATCTTCCAATCCCTTCGAACAACCTTTTATGGGCACACACAATCTTCTCCATTTCCGCAATTCCTTTCTTTTCGCCTGAGTCATTCCCGATTTTCTCGACTTTCTTTACACTTTGGTCTGCGAACTCACCATCAGCGCTATACTGCAACATTCCAAGTTCGAGCAACGTCTTCTCGGAAAGTAATGGGTGACTATGAATCCCATTTTCTGTCACGTATATGCATGTCTTTGATTAGGTTTTTTACTGTCTTATTTGATAGCGTAGAGCATTTCAGGACGCAGATTATTCCGAGCTTAGCCCCACCTAAGGCTCGAATAGCTTCTTTCGGGACAGATATTAACTTTTCGACATCTGGGTGTTGTTTATATATCTTTTGAAGGTCGTCCTTCGATATCAGGTCTACGTCCGCACCTGTATCTGGATCAATGTTAAGTTTAACTCCGCAAACGTTTACTGGCAAAAGAATGTTGCTAGCATCCTTTTCAGCGTTCACTTTCCTGACATTTAATCTGAGACGAGCTCCTTGAATATCAATGTCTGCATCAGAATCAGATGAATCATCTTTTGTGATAGATCTTTGAAACTTCCCTGATATTTGGGTATCTTTCGGTCTTGTACGGCAACATGAACTGAAATGATTCAATTTTCCACAGGAATTACATTTCTTGCCAATAGCTGGACAAGTCTCATGTGATACATCATATCCACATGGGAGGCATTTTTGTTGATTTTCTGCGTCTGTTGGTTTCGTGAATCTTGTGTTCTTTGATGTTGGGTTCTCAATATTTTTGAACGAATACATCTTCTGTTTTGATGCTCTTCCACGTGGTTTTCCTGCGTGTGTGGCTCGAACAAATTCGAACGATTCTTCCTTTATTTCTGATTTCATGTCGTCTGTTTGAGCTTTGATGTCTTGCTTCATCGTAGCATGCTTCATAAATGTTTTTAAGTCCCGATCTTTTGCTAGGGCTTCGTCCTGTAACTTCTCGTCGTAGCATGTCGAAAGCAGTCGATCCAGTATCATTTCATCGTCATAGCCGTGGAATTCACAATCCTTAGCCAAGCGTCGTAGTTCGATTTCAAATTGTGATATAGTTTGACCCGCTTCTATTCTCGCTTTATTGAATCGAAAACGAGCATGGAGGCGAGATTTCTTAGGTATATATATCCTCTCGATTTTTTCAATCAGATCTATGTATTCGTCTACATCTCTACCGTCTGTCTCAGGAGAGTTCTCATCTATAGACAAAATGTGCTCACCACCGTGAACTAATAAACACATTTGCTTGTCTTTCGGGTCTTTAATTTCAAAATATTCCATTTGTAACTCGATTTTTCTCTTCCACGATTTCCATTTCGACGAAGTTTCAAGTATATCATCTGTCGGCAAGAATTCTTCGACTTTAAGGGCTTTCTTCACTGGTTTGGGAGGCATCCTCGTCGCCAATGTTATAATTTTCTGTTCTAAATTCCGACCACTGCTCCGAGCAGAGGTGAAGTCTATCTGTTTATTACTTTGAATGTGCATGTCTAGACTTATGTACAGTAATTTGCATACATTAAGATTCTAACTAATACAACCATTCATGCGTAATATCGCACAACAAAATTCAATCGGGTGAGTTTTTTGACTTAGCTAAGCTTCTCCCAAAAAACTTCTCTAATGGCTCTAACGACGAGCCTATTACCTTGACGCTTGAGAACGCGGTAATTAAGGTTAAAAGGTCGTCTCAGTCCGTCGCAAAAATCACCGATATTGAACAGTGGACTACAGCTTTCACGATCTACATGAGTGTCTTGACACATTCGTTCCCGGGACGGCCCCAGGAATTGCTGCAATACATGAGTCTAATCCGCCACGCATCTCGTACTCATCGCGGCCTGGGATGGTGTATTTACGACCATAAGTTTCGCCGAAAAGTTTCCCTCAACGCATGCATCAATTGGTCAATTATCGATCAACAGCTGTGGTTGATGATATTCACTGTTTCTTCCGATGTACTTAGAAGGGAATACCCTCTATTTCACAACGGACCCCAAAAGCAGTTTTCCTCAGGGGGCGAACGAGGTCTCTGCATCGAATATAATAGGCGATCTGGATGTTCCCATCAGCCGTGCCGATACCACCACGCATGTAGCAAATGCCGAGGCCCACATACAGCATACTCTTGTCCGACCAACTAAGCCCAGCCCGCCGATGATTCTGAAGCCCAACGCATCTCCAAGCGTCACCACACTGACCACAGACCTGCCAAGTCAAAGCACTAACCTAGTTCCGACACCATCAATGTAAATACTTTAGAAAAAGCCCTTACGGGTCATCCAGACCCTAATTTTGTGTCACATTTATGCCAAAACCTTAGATACAGCGCGCGCATTGGCTTCATGGGCAGCGCACGGCACGCTTTTCCAAAAATCTACCGACGGCGCATGCGGACCCTGCAATTGTTTCATCCAATTTAGCTAAAGAGATTTCGCTAGGCCGCGTGGCTGGTCCCTTTAACGAGCCCCCATTTCCAAATTTTCAAGTTTCTCCTATCGGGTTAGTCCCTAAAAAGCATTCGGAAAAGTTCCGCACTATATTTCATCTTTCATTTCCGAAATCGGGTATGACCAGCATAAATTCTTCTATCTCACAAGACGACTTTAGTCTTCAGTACGTTACTATCGACGATGCGATCAAGGGAATGATGCGTTTTGGGCAATGTTGCTTTCTTGCAAAAACCGATATCGAATCTGCTTTTCGGCTTATACCTATACATACTTGGGACCAAATGGTTCCAGGGTACATGGCATGCTCACCAATAACTAGGAGTTCCCGGTATAAGCATTGCATGGCAAGAACTTTTTGCTATCGTCGTTGCATGTCAAATTTGGGGGCCCCTACTGCGCGATCAACGCATTAAATTTAGATGCGATAATGAGGCAGTCGTCAACATGATTAACACCAAACGTTCCAAAATCCCTCGGGTCATGGATCTGCTTCGTCACTTAACTCTTCTTACCCTGCGATATAATATGTACATTCGGGCAACGCACATTTGTGGAAAACGGAACGAAATAATATTTCTCGTTTTCAGCTTCAGCGATTCCGTCAACTGGCACCGCAAGCGGATATCAACCCATGTTTGGTCCCCGAAATAATGCTGGCAATTTTTAAAGGATGATATTCAACGCTATATAAATCTTTCCGTTGCAACAACAACTAAGCAGACCTACAGCGCAGGCGAAAAAAGTTTTAAGCACTTTGTAAATTGGTTTAGGCGACAAAA